ATTATCGTTACTTATTTTTTTTGTCTAATTAAAGTAAAACTAGCTTAGATGACTATTTGATGTTATAACTTGAGTTGTAAAGTTTTTTTCTTTTTTTTATGTTATAACTTGAGTTGTAAAGTTTTTTTTTTTTAAAAAAACATATCAACAACACTTACTCGTCATTTTTTATATAACAAAATTCATACGAACCTAAAGCATAACACATGCGCATGTTTAGTTCACTTCTAAAAATACGTTGTGCAACAATCTTTTCTTTATAAAAACTATCTATCAAGCACTTGATGATGTCATTGTATCATGTTGGCTGGGAGACAATGATCTTAGTCACTTGTATAATATAAGGATTACCTATTTTTCTAAGAGATGTTATTTTCAAGGACAAGAATCATTATATGGCTTTATTGGGATAATACATCTTAAAGGTCTACCATATACGGTTATAGGCACGTACCATCATTGTTATTGTCTTTGGAAATGCCAACTATGTTGCGCTATCCAAGCCCCTCACCCAAGAGACTATGATGAGGCAACCATCCAACGTCGGCTAAAAAATAATGATTTTAATTGCTTATATAGCGCAAGGCTCACCTTTTTTCCCAAGAAATATTTTTTCAAAAACAAAATTTACTATGTGACTCTAATGAGACAATTCTTTTTAAAAGACTTACCATATACAAGTGTGGACTCACCTCATTATTAACATCATATATGAGAATACTAGTCATATTATGCTACCCAAGCTCCTGGTTTGGGGGGTTGTAATAATATCGTTTTAATAGCTTACATAACATAAGGATCATCTCTCTCTTCAAGAAACTTTTTTTTTTTAAAACAAAACTCATCATGTGACTTTGGTGGAACAATACCTTTTAGGGGCTATCATGTGTGGGTGTGAGAATATATCATCATTAAGGTGATGAGGGCCTTAGTCACTTTTAAAGTATAAAAATAATCTCTTTTCCTAAAAAATATCTTTTTAATGACAAAACTCATTATATAATTCTGATGAAATAATATCTCTTAGGAGAGTTACCAAATACTAGTGTGGTTATATATCATTAGCATCTTTAGAGAATTTCTATATATAAAAAAATAAAATTATCATGACCTAGATATACACGAAATAGATTAATGAGAGCAAGCTATCACTTTTTTTCAATTTAATTATACTTTAGTCAAGAATTAATCTATCACATATCTAGAATTTTAATTTCAAGATCTTCACTTGATAAGTAAAAAACAAAGGAATTTGGATGGAAGTTTGGTTCAGAATTTAGTTAATATGTTATTGGGAAAATAGTAACAATACAAGGAACCAAAGAAGTGTACTTTCCCTTTTATATTTGTAGAAATAATTTAATTATGTAAAAATAAAACGATACATTCTCCTTGTTTGATAAAAAGAGATGAATTAGAACAAAATAACATAACAAAAAGAACAAATAAAAACAAAGTAAAAATACAACTATAGAATTGAATTCTCATTTTTTAAGTAATCAGACCCAAGTCTTAAACAAAGTCATGAACCAATTTAAATCTTTTAACTATATTTATATTTTTTATTAAGTATATAACATGTTATTCATGACGATGACCCATCACTTACGATGGATGGCTGATATATAACCTATTACTTTTAAAGATAATAGATAATTAATTTTAGGTATGACCTAATTAAGTCATAGTATATGCAAACTAGTTTGGATACCCATATTAATCTAAAAATAAAAAAGATAATGGATGATATGTCATGTATGAACTAATTTAATATTAAATTATTAATCTTGATCATTTTAAATTGAGTTTAACTAGTTCCATTACTTAAAGATTTAATGAAAAAATTATATTGATTTATCAATTTATTAATAAAATCCATGAATTTGGTTTGGTTTTGGTAACATTTTCCTTAAATATGTGATTTAAGTGGTTATTATGCTGAGCATGAATACAATGACTTTAGGAGAAAGTAACTTGGATAGATTAGAAATATTGATAATCAAAAGATGATACCAAAACTAATTGTAATTGAAACGCAGCCTTCTATCTTGTTGCAATTATATTTTATCATGTATAGTTTGGACTACATAAAAGCTTAAAAAAAATTCTTTTAACAATTAATTAATTTTTAAATTTTTATCTTGTTCAAAGATAAATTCACATATATAAATGCACATAAATTTGGTCAATATTATAGATTAATTAATATATCAATAATAATAATAATAAACTCTCAAATAAGACACAAAGAAATGGCCAAATAAGCTGGATCGCACAAACCAGCAATATACCATTAGAATCTGAATTTCAATACAAAGAAAAATAAATAAATAAAATCATGGAATTTACAAAATTGCTAGAAATCTGTCCACCGCACCCTAAACCCTTTCGTTTGCTGGCCAAGTCAGCCCAAACATCCTAGAAAACCCTTCTTCCTCGTTAAACCCTAGAAGACTCGAAAAAAAATCACCTCCTCCTTCCTTCCTCCAGACCATTCCTTTGACCACAAAGGAAAGTAAACCCAAATCAACAATAACCCTAGACCCTTCTTTCCTCAACCAACTAAAATCCCTCTTCCTCTCGGAAAACCCACGAGAACCCATAAAAGTTCTATCTTTATCTCTCAATAAAAGCTATAAAGATCCAATCTTTCTCACAAAAACTCCATAAAAATCCCATCTTTTTCCCGAGAAGATCAAACCTTTGATCGCAAAATGAATGACCCAAATGATCACAAGTATAGAAAATACCACCCATATCAAGACCTCTACAATGTTCCAGCTCAAAACCTGTACAACCTTCCAACATCCCCTGAATTTCTCTTCCATGAAGAATCTTTAAACCAACGCCGTTCTTGGAGTGAAAATCTCCAATACTACACAGGCACAGGTTACTTATCTGGAGCTATATTAGGCGGTGCTAAAGGTTCTATTGAAGGAATCCGTGCGGCGGAGCCCGGAGAGTCATTAAAGTTGAGGGTTAATCGTGTTTTGAATTCTGGTGGTCACGCGGGTAGAAAATTTGGAAACAATTTGGGTGTTTTGGGACTCATGTTTGCGGGGATTGAGAGTGGTTTGATTCATTGGAGAGATACTGATGATTTGGTTAATACTGTGCTTGCTGGTCTTAGTACCGGAGCTATTTATCGTGCTGCAAAAGGGCCTAGGTCTGCTGCTATTGCTGGTGCTATTGGCGGGATTGCTGCGGCTGGTGCAGTTGCTGCGAAGCAGGCTGTTAAGAGATATGTGCCTATTTGAAAATTTTGAAATTTATGGTTTTAGGCATTATGGGGTTAGGGATTTATGGGGGATAAATGGCTTTGTGGGGGTTTGGTTGTTTGGTGGTATACGGATTGGTTTAATGGATTGGCGCAAATAATTCGTATGACCGTATTTTATAATTCTATTTGTCGACTTGGCATGTGTTCCTGATCTCGTTCCTGTTTATAAGAAGTTTTGGGCTTCTAACTTGAACTTTTATCATAACAAAGTTTGTTTTGTTTAATTATTGGCTAGAAATTGAATTGTCTGTTGCTGTTTTGATGGGGATTAGTAGAGTGTATAATTGAATTATTTTTGGTGAGCATTGTTGTTTTCCCGTGATCAAGCCTGTTAGTTTGCCTTTACTTTGCTAACATGATCCTGTTTGATGGATTATTTGAAAACATGAATCTGTTTGTGGTTGTTCAGGTTTTTGGCCTGTGAAATGATTTCGCTGTGTGATGCTATTTTATCCTTTTAGGTTTATTCTGTTTGATAATTTCCTGAAATAATTTATGATGTAATGTTGTAGTTTTATTGTTGCACCCTGACCATGGATTGCTTGCCTGTTAGGGCATCGGCTTCCTGTATAATGTTAGTTTTCCATGTAAGCGTGCTATTTTCAATACTTGTATTCTTTATGGGTTTATTCCGGTGTCCTCTATGGTTGGGATCTGCTGGTGTTTTCAGTGGGAATTGGATGAAAATCTAGGAATTAGTGGGAAGAAAAGATTTGAGTAGTGGATAATGTTTCTCCTAAGTTTGAGGCATACTGATCAGTTAGTGCACAACAGAGCTCTCTATACAATATTATTTAGCAACAAATAACTGGGAAATCTCTCTTTGGCTCCAAACTTCTTCTGGAGTTTAAGCTTAAAGATTGTCCATCATTTGGTGGTCAAAAATCTCTTTAGAATCTCTTAGCAATGTATTCAATCTTCTCTTCAACCTTTTATTATACAGGACTAAAATGGATAATAGTATATCATGGCCTCTTTTCCTTTTGCATCTAAAGCAAAATTAAATGAGATTTTTATTCCTTTAAGATCAGGGCCTTTTCTCCTTGCATGATATGCCCCTAACTCCTATGCCTTGACCTTTCTGGGAAAGAGGATGGTGTGGGGTCTAGAATTCCGATGTTGCATTCTGTATCCAAAGAAATATAGTTGCAAATGGTATTCATAGATTTCACACTGCCTTTGATGGTTGTAGATTGTCATTGTTTCTGCGTGGAATGGTTAGATGTGTAGCAAAACTAGTGGCTAGTTGCTTATATCTTTTATCCAGAGAATCCCATTGTGCAACTTCTTTAAAGCTTCTTTCTCCAAACATGTCTTGAGAATTGAATTTTCTGGCTTGCTAAAGTCTTAACTCCCAAATCATGTGTTTTTGCTTGTAATTAAATGGCTGCTTTTTCTCTCTCTCTCTTTTTTTTCCTGTCTCAGTTCTGTCCTCTTCTTTCAACTCCCATTTTAAATCCTACTTCTTTTTTTTAAACATAGGGACTTTCTTCCTCGGTTGTGATTATGTGGTAAATTCTTCCATGAATGATTAAGTTCCTTCAAATCTTTTTTTTTTTTTGTTTCATCTTCCTGAGTATTATGTCGTTACCAGATGTCTGCGGGTAGTTGGGTATGTGGGAACTTTTTTCAATTTTCCTCTGCTTAATTTGTAGTCTTTTCATGTATGCAATTTTGCATCTATGGTGCTGCTTATGTTTCGTATGTTTATTAGTGACCCTTTTTTTTTTCCCAGTCTTGGGTGGTTAGATAGCAGTTTAAAGTAAGAAATCTGTTGCATGCATGCATTCAGCTTTTGGACCATGTCAAGTCTTTTTTATGATATCAAGGATTTTGCTGTCAAAATTTGTTTGGAAGACGAAACAGAATTATTTCTGTGGAAGATAGAATGCTAGGAGATGTTCATATTTTTAAAATCTGTCTTGTCAAAGCTTAAATCAAGTAAATTTTAGCGTTCTGAGGCAGGGAATAGGATCGAAGATCATGGATTTTGCTTTACACGTTATTTAGCTGAGGTTTCATGATGGAATAGGATCGAAGATCGTGGATTTTGCTTTACACGTTATTTAGCTGAGGCTTCATTATGATATTTACATATTTGAAGTTTCATTATGATATTTACAGATTTTCTATTGTAAAATTGTGTTACGAGGGATAGAAGGTAAGGAGCTGATAAAGAGAAAAATATTAACGTTGTGGTAACTGCAACAGGTTCACTGATGACATGGGTGATGGGTTCTTGTCATTTGTGCCCTTCACACCTCCTTTCTAACATGCTGATATCACTGTGGGCCTTTTGGCGGCAGGTTAGGTTAGGAGGCTCTTGAAGTTTGTGGTTGGTGAAGATTTCATTTCGAGGATCCGTAGGGAAAACATTGGAAATGGACATACATGGTTTGCTGACAATTTCCTTTCGAGCACCATAGTTTAGGGCAGCTCTCACATTACTTGTTCTCTCTTTTATGATCCTTTAAATAGTAACCATTTCTTGTATTCTGACCAGCCTCACCGCGGCTTATAAACACTGCTTTCCAGGGAAAATTCGCCAAGTGAGCCAGAAGAGTCTTTCTCTGACATCACGTTGTCAGCCTTGTAGTTCCACGACGTCGGTTTGGCACCCTCTGCTAAACTGGCTTGGACAGAGAGATCCTACCAGTGCAAGGATAACTTGGAATGACTCTACCTTGAATTTCGAGTGTGAGATCTATGCCAGTCCCTCTGCAATATCGAGAGAGTTGGTGAACTTATGTGGCCTCCAAATTCTGACCCAAAAAAAGTCAAAAACGTGATCATGCAAGAAACGTATAAAATTGAAAATAAATTTCCTTTTCAACCCAAGAAGTTGAATTGGGAATAACCCGTTCTAACTCCTAACTCTTGTTGCTAAGATATTTTAAAAGAAGAAACGAAAAGAAAAATTGCCTGGAGGAAAGCATTCCCAGTTATCCCAGTTTTTAAGAGATGTAAGTATGTTTGGAAGTTTAATTGGAATTATTTTTTAAAGTATTTTTTTATTTTAAAATATATTAAAATAATATTTTTTTATTTTTAAAAAATTATTTATAAAATCAGCATAATTCAAAACATAAAAAAAAATATTTTAAAAAAATTAAAACTTTTAAAAAATATAAATTGGATGGTTTTTTCAGACATCTTTTTAAACCTTAAATCAATCAACATCATTCATGAATATCTAATTTGTTCCTATTTTTTGCTAAAATACAACAAAAATAATATGAATAAAAACAAATCTATCAATTAACATAACTCTTTGATAAGATTATCGTATAAAAATATTAACATGGTAAATGTTTATTTATTTATTACTGCTTAGATTATCCTAGACATCCTGAGAGTATTGATAGATAATATAGATGAAAGAAATTCATGGATTTATAATAAAACATGCGAGTATATAACTCTATGATTACAAAGCCCTTGACTTCAATGATAAATAAGATTAATTATAAATTAAATACTCGTGTAAATCAGGGATATCTTATTAATAATTTAATTATATATTTGAGAAAAAAAAAAGTAGAGAACAATCGACCACCGTCCAACGTGTGGAACATAAATATATTATATTAACTAAATATTGCTCATTTTAACTTGAAATTAGGTAAAAAAATTAGCAAAATTCCACCAGGAGGACTTTTTGAGTCTTTGACAATGGAGGCTTGGGTTTCTTTTTCTCATGTGTGGCCAAATGTCAAAGCTTATCAGATGCATCAAATTGACTGCAAATACAAGGCACTTGTTTTTTATATATATATAGTTGATCAGAGCAGAGAACGATTCCAACGTATGCAACAAATCTTTCAAAGTAAGGCTTGATATCTGTGTTAATTTAATCCTTGACATGTTCTTTAACCATCAAGAAACCACTTCGAAATTAATTGTAATTGATTATTTCTTGTTCGGAGGCTTCAATTCTCCTGTTCTAGCATCTCCATTTGTCTATGTATCTCCTTTTGATTTTGAAATTATTTTCCGAGAATTACAGAGTGCTAGGATTCTCTTTTGCCGTCATTAAATAGCATTTAATCATTGTCTTAAAATAAAATAAAATAAAATAAAAATATAAAATAACAAGGATAAAGAAAACATGCCCATTATCTTTTATTTTGAGAGGATAAAGACTTATTATAAAATTATTTCAAAGATATATTTATTTTATATATTTATTTTTATCTTTTCAACCAACCAACCATGTTTGAGGTTTTTTTTTACCCTGAAATTAATATCAACCGAAGACAAAAATATAAAGTAAAAACATTAGGTCAAGTTTTGATCAAAAATAGACCTAGAACAGTTTTCAGAGGACCTTGATCATGTAGAGCTAGTCTCCAAACCAAATGTTGCCAAAGTCATTTGAATGTGTAGACTAACAATAAAATGTTTGAGCCTCTGAATGACCCTTTATTTTGGCTGTTTAAGAACTTCTGATTATGACCATTCTTTTAATGCATTATTCGTGTTCTTGTTTAAATCTTCTTCTTCATGCATCTCCTCTACTCATTACCAAAGAAAATCAATATTACGTGATGGACCCACATCCCATATTCTAGATGTTTTGATTTTATTTCTTATCAAGAAGCTTGAATGATTATGCAGAATACAATAATAATTGTTTTTTAAAATGTTTGTGGTTTATAAATATATTAAAATAATATTTTTATTATTTTTAAAATCATTATTTTTTATTCATCTAAAAATATAAAAAACATTAAATTTCTATGAAATGTTGTTCGGAATGAAATCCAAACTGTTCGGTAGACTCTGATTTCTCTCTTTTGATTTTTTTGTCCGCTCGACAGCCTAATCTGGCCTTGCTTTATTTAAGAATGGCCAAACCTAAGCTTGGTTGAGGATAATGATGTCATAAAATAGAAAGAAGAAGGAGCAAATTTGAGACCTGTTCAATTTATAATACAATGAACCTTCTGTTACATGACAATCTAGAAGGAAGAGAGAGAGATTTAATGTTTTCTACTTTGTTTGATTTATTCAACTATGATAAAGACCGACCATAGACAATAAATAAAACGCAAAGAGAAGAAAAAATCTGCAGAATTGATCCTTTCTGCCTACACAGAAGCTTCTATCAAGTTAACTTTCCTGTTCTATTGAATAGAGAAAAAAACAAGAAATAACCATCAAAATGTGACGTGTCTTTATGTTAATTCTATTTGTTTGGATTCCAAGAAAACTTCCAAGTCTTTGTGATCTCTTATAAATACGCACCTCATTAGGTACAGATAGCACGGTACCTCCTCCAGCATACACTGCAAATCACTTGTTCTCTCAGAGTTACAAATGCCTTTATCTAAAGCTCTTACTTTTGTAACCATGCTTCTTGTGGTGCTACCTATGGTTGCTATGGCAGATATTGATGGCAACCTGACTGCTTTCTATGGTACACAAAACTCTCTATCCTGCACTTCCATGCACACACAAGCACGGGTAAAATCTTGGATGTATGATTTGTTCTTTGTGAATTGCAGACAGGTTGTGTAAAGAAGTGGATTGCGGAAAAGGAACATGCGTAGGAGACACATCATACCCATTGAGCTACAAGTGTGAATGTGAAGCTGGATGGAAACAAACCCAATACGATGACGATGATGTTGATGATGAACACAAGTTCCTCCCTTGCGTGATTCCAAACTGTAACCTCCTTTTCTTTTCGGCTTTCTTTTCTGAACTTCATTCAGGGACATGGTACATGCAAGTAGCAGAACATGACATGTTCTGATGAATTAAAAAGACAGATTTTGTACGTAATTTTACACATTCAAGTAAACTTGGTTCATTTTCTTGTTTTTTTGCAGGTACTCTGAACTATGGCAGCTGCCAGCCAGCCCCACCTCCAGTTCCACAAAAAGAAGCTCCCCACAACAGCTCCTTCTTCGATCGTAATCACCAAAACCAAAGACCTTTATTCACATAATAAGATTCAAAAAATACTGCAGTCCTGCCTGATATCCTCTCTCTCTCTCTCTCTCTCTCCCCCTCTCTCTCCTGCCACTAATTTTCTGTCCTGTTGATCATGTAGCTTGCTATTGGATGTACTGTGGAGAAGGTCAATGCACAAATAATGGAACATATAGACACACGTGTACTTGCAATCCTGGTTTCGTTAATCTTCTCAACATCTCTTACTACCCTTGCTACAGTGCATGTAAGAACTTTTACATGAAGTTTTAGCAGTGAATACTGATGGGAGATCAAAGAAACAAACTTTAAAAACTGATCTGTGCTATGGTTTTGGTTGTCAAGGTACTCTCGGATCTGATTGTGCTGACATTATTAGAATCGCAAACTCAACATCAACTGGAACCGGAACTGGAACCGGTGGAAATCCAGGTGAGAATGCAAACCAAACATATCACCCAGTCGTCGTAACATAAAAGATGTTATTTCAGATCTTGATGATTTCTAATCTATTTTTGTTATCCAGCTAGCACCATTCTTCCAGCAAAGTTCCAATGGATGATTATTTTGCTCGCCTCTATGCTTATGGCTCTGATGTAGGATGAGAATTGAACGAGGATCCTGGCTAACCAGCTTTTCAGTTTCGTGATACTTGATTATACTCACTAGTAAATTTCATTTGGTGCATCTTTCGTTTGATCATTCACCAGATTCTTATGTAGAAATTCAGTTTGTATGCGAATGAAAGTCGGAACACAGACCTAGATGGAGGATGAGCGTTGTCTATGCAACACTACGTGATCCATTTGGTTTTTATGTAGTTGTATTGATTATTTATTTATAAATAACTGAGCTTGTGAAAAATATTTATCTATTCTTCTCTTTGGATTCAAGCTATCCACATAGATATAAAGCAACAAGATCCAAGTAGCTTCTGGGACGAATCCTATTTGTTAAATCGCCATTTAGTTTGATGATTGATAATTCAAATAACATGGCAACGTCTACATAATTTGGCCACAAAACTAAACACACCGAGTACAAGTAACAAGCTACACACATGCCTTCTGCCAAGTGTGATTTTTCCTATCCGTTTCTGCACAAGACAGGCTTCTGTATTAGGTGCAAGCAAGTCCTTGTTAAGCAATCAAAATTCAAGACTTGTGTTATAAATGGAATGGATAAAGGAGCCACAGCCTCAAAGCACATCGCCACTAAAGCGTTAAGTCTAGGCTGGCCGAGAAAAACAAAATTATACTACTAAGGCTGCTCATTTCTAATCCATAGTTCACGTTTGATTCGAGGGGGAAACGAACTGCCTCTTGAAACCACACAAGATGTTTCTCCAAATGAACGATCCCAAAACATTAAGTCTATAGGATGCTATCGGAGTGAGTGATAAAAAAAATCAACTCTAACAATCTTGTAATGCTTCCACGCCAAAATTTGCTCATTGGTGATTGTACATCTGACAACAAAACAGTCGATATTGCCAAGCTTTCCCCTCACTGCTCAACACAACAAAATGAGATTCAAAGATGGTATGGATTCATAATTGATCCCAGATCTACGGACTACACTTGAATTGACGTTTGCTAGGGATTCCACTTTACAAAAGCATATGTACCGCGCAATAGCAGCACATACCAGTCACTGACGCATAACCAGAACAATGAGCTGTGTTAAAGTCACTGTACTATCTACCTGGGAAAACACGTGGAACTCTATTTGTATTACATTGCAGGCAGGAGACTCCAACACGACATAGGATATTCACTTCATTGTGCCCTGGCTTCCTCTCTAAATATTCTAAAAGCAGGAATATATAGATAGAATTATATTCAAACTTCTGTAAACCAGCATCATGATTGAGCTATGGATACCTCTCAAATATTATTTATGAGCTTCTGTGAGACCATAACCATCTCGGTATCGTTCCCTAATACCTCTATACAACTATTAGAAGTTAGGGTTTCAAATGTA